GTGTCTCCAGAGGAGGAGGCAGGATGTAATTTCTTGTAATATGCAGCAATAAACACACTGGAGGTAGAAGCTACTCTGTCATTCTGCTCTCCCTGGCCCTGACAATCTGTTGTCTTTCCCTGCACCCTGGCACTGCGGGCAAATGGGGAAGAGTAGCCTATGGCTGGTTGGGTGGGATACTCCCACATAACATCCCAAGTTGAACCTGCTCAAGTAGAGAAGAGGACAGAACATGGCAGAGTGAATGATAAACAGGCAGGGAGATCACTACTGTGTCTTCTGAATTTAGTTTGGCTGCAAGGAGGAACAGTTGAGCCCATTGTTAGCAGGGGTTCTGGACTGTAGGTCTCAGCGTACAAAGGTGCCTTCCTGGACCTAGTCAGGAATACTGAACACTCTGCCTGGCCTGCTCCTTCCTTAGCCTGCAAGTTTGGTATAGTTTTTATTTGGAGATGGTTCACTCTCTTAACAGTCTTGGCTGGAAATCATAGGATTTTAAACAAAATTCTGAATTCCATGCTGGAAAGTAGACCCTGTGGCTCAGCTATGCTACAGTCTTTTCTCAGATTTGATCCCTCAGGGAAGCACATGGTGCCAGTTCAAGTTCCTCTCCCAGGGGAGGTGGGGAAGGTGAATCATCCCTCTTCACAGAGAAGCCTGGTCTTATCTGGTGTGTGGAAATCTTTTGCCATACCTCAGAACAAGGCGGAAGCACAGGAAATCAATATTGTCTCTCATTAAACTGAAAAGGTTTCTACCACACTGTCTCAATTGTTTTCCTGGTCAGATAGTATGAAAATCTAAAGTTGGAATATGATCTGGATTGTTAAACCTACTTATTTTTTAGACATAAATAATAAATAAAGAAATAAAATACCTATCTCTAGTACTGGATAAATAGAGAAGTGAGATATGTGCCTTTCATAGGAACTATGAAATTATTGCTTGTTATGTAAACTGAAGCATGCAAACCGTAATGATTGCTAATGAAGAAACTTTCTAACAGTGAGTAAGATAAAAGTAACAATGTTACTTTTTTGTGTTACAGTCAAAAATCAAACCATTGTTCTTAGCAAACTATTAGGAACCTGTCTTCCTCTATCCTCATAGCATTGGTAGATATCTTCATCCTCAGGTCTGTTATTTTATTTGGAGATAAATACTTGAACATGAGATGCTCAGCCCAGAGTCTTTAAAGGCACTAACTACCATATCATCTTTGAGCCATCAGCATTTGAGTTAAAACGTGTTAAGTTTGAAGTGTAACTTCCACCATTATCTATCTATCTAAAACAGAAGTTTTTAAAAGAAACTGAGAATTATTAAACTAAGGAACATCATGACCTTTAGAGCTTTTTTGCCTTTCCCTTCCCCCCAAGTGTATTTGTGGGGAAACACTGATGTGATGTAACAATGAAATTGTGTGTAACATTGTAATTAAATACTTCTCTGTATAGAAGTTGATATTCCTCCCTGTTTTCTTGAGAGATGAGCTAATGCTTTTCATTCTTTTTGAAAACGGCTCACAAGTATGAGTGACAGAATTACCTTCTTTAAGTCAAAGGTACTGGCATAAGCAAGCCATATTTTTCCATACTCAAACTTTTTTTTTGAGTCCATAGACAAGTACTTGACAGACTCAATATAGAATTACTAGCTACATTATTCAGACTTCAAATTTGCTTTCAGATTGCAGCCTAAATGTGCACAAAGAGTTCCACAAAGTGTTGATTGAGAATTTCTGGACACGAAATATGTTCTAGCAATTCACAACTGATTGAAAAAAAACCCCACCAGCTGTAACTCAAATAAATCATTTTGTGGCTTGAATCAAGCATTTTTCATCCCTTTATTCAGCATGTAGCACGCAGATTAATGGATATGCTTCAGTAACTTTGACAGTATGTGTTCACTGAACAATTGGACCACCAAACAAGGGCTTCGTCGGTCTATTCTTACATCAATGAGATACTCAAAAGAGTTCCAGATTACTCCTTTCTCCAGCTCCACTCACAAGAGTTCACTCTGAGTTATAGACATTTATCTGACATGACTGATAAATTTGGACAATTATTCTCCCTCTTTCTAGAGATCCACTTTGGCCCCTGCAACTGCAGATCAATTGAATAATATTATAAGACACAGTGTGCATGGACAGCTAGAAGAATCAATGTAGTAAAAGAAGTTTAAAAGCTCTTCAGTCAGTTGAAAGTAGAGAGTAGAGCTGGCATCACTTTCAGTTAGGGAGGTATCTACATTTGTCAGTACAAGCTTAGGCTTTGATTTCCATAATTGCATACATAAAACTACATTCGTGCAACGTGTATGGACAACTGCTACTGTAATTGCACACACAGGCAGATTACCTACCCATTCTTTGCTCCTGCAGTTTCTGCATATATTTGGCAGTTATGGTCATTAGGCAGGCAGTTTTGGAAATCTGGCACATGTTGCAATTATTCAAGCAGTAAGTCCCAGCCCTGAAAAACCAGAAGCATAATCTCATCCAGGACAATCAAAGAAAAAGTACCTTTTCTTTCTGACTCTCATCAGTTCTTAGTTGTAACACAAGAAGGACTGCATGTTGAAGCTGACCCCATACTAGGGGTATGTATTCTAGGAGAGATCTCAAAACTAAAGACAGAAAGGAGATCTAAAGGATTTCTGAAGCAGCCACAACATAGCATTCATCAAGTGTTCAACCAAGGAAGCACTTATGGCATCTCTAGGGCACAAAGGCATAAAACCTCCAATCGTTTCCATATTGTAAGGATTCTGCAGGTGTTAGGTCAGACTTCTGAGGTGCTGAAACACTTTGACACTATATTCATCCTTATTCTGATCACTGTAAATAGAAGTTGAATCTTAGGGGTAAATGTTAGGATTCAGTGCTTCCTTATCACATATAGCCCAACTTGAAATAGAAAATTCTTTATTGGTTCAGCGCTGGAAGGTCACCACTGAGTTTAAATGCACAAAGGCAGTTCTTCCTGGAAGAGTTATCATCTACTATCATTTCATCCTCAGGCAATAGGTTTGTGATGCATGTTTTGTGGTGCATGTGTTTTCATAAATATTCCTGCAAGGGAGAAAAATCAACCTATATCCAGTATATGATAAGTCTAGTCCTTTGATACACTTGAAGTTGTTTATTTCAAGTTTTAATGACTTATTGCCAATCTTCTCAAACTTTCTCTGCTTTCTTCCAAGACTTCTGGAAAATTTGCTAGGCATATAGACCTAAAAGTAGCTCATTGTCCCTCATGTACTAGCTGAAAGTAGTCCTTTCCACAGGCACCCTGTCTGCTTGCAGAAGCTCCTTTTGTTCTGATGAAGCTCTGATTTACTACAGATTTCTGAAAATCCTGGGGTATAGTAAAGTCTTAAAATAAAACCATGAACACCACAGACATTTAAAAGATGTTTAGAAAATTGTGCAGGATAGATCTAGAGAAAACTTTTGAGAAAGAAGTCTCATAGTATATATGAAGATTAGCAAACAGGTTTCATTATTGTTATTATTATTACTAGTAGTAGTAATAGCAGTGGTATTTGGAAGGACAAAGAGTGGAAGCAAGACTTTACTGAAATGTCTCTGTAATGGAGAAGCTCTACGTTATCTGTTTGGTCTATGTATGTCCTATGGAGCAGCAGAGGCTGCTGTTTCTGTTTCAGGAGACAGGGGTGGGTTCATGGGGAGCAGTGTTTGCAACAGAGGCCACAAATGCCCACTACCACCATCTGGCACCATGTGTTTTTTACCCTGTCACCTGGTAATCAAGCTACATCTACTTCAATTGTGTTTTCCTGTGCATAATTGAAAAAGGTATCATACTCTCTAAAATATGTTTACAGTCAGCTCACAGATAGTAGAGTATGCCTTATCTTCCTTCAGGGGAAGGGGATTTAAGCAGAAGATGAATTCAATGAAAGGACAGGGGCTCTTAAATAAATAAATTTATGTGAAGGAACTGATATTCTCTATTCGTTCAAAGGCACATGGTACCATGTCCATCCATGGTGCATTTAATTTTAAGACTTTATGTTAAAAAGCTTTTATACAAATATTTGCAGAACTGAAGCCAATGTCCTTAAAAAAAAAGGAGTTTTAATTAAAAAAAATTAGATTCCCATAGCACTTAAGAGTTTTAGCATCTTGATTCTTAATTTTCCCCAAATTCCCAAGCTTCCCAACTGAGTGTGGGAAAAGTTTAGAGCTCTGTTTTTCAGAAGTATCTAGGAACTAGAATGACAACTAGTCAGTGCCTGAGACTCCCATTGGTTAGAATATTAGATTCCTAGCGTATCCTGAGTTGGAAGAGACCCATGAGGATCATTGACTCCAAATCCTGCCTCCACGTGGGGCAACTTAAAAGTTAAACCAAAAAAAAAAAAAATTGAACATAAAGCTGGGCATTGTTCAAACATTTATTGAAGTCCAGTTGGAGTCTTGGGACCATGATCACTTTCCTCAAGAGATTGTTCCAGTGTTTGACCACCTTCTCAGTGAAGAACTTTTCCATAATATCCAGTCTGAATTTCTGATTATGTAGCTTTAATCCATTCCCTCACTGGACACCAGAAAGAAGAGATCAACACCTGCCTCTCTGCTCCCTTCATGAGGAGGTTGTAGACAGTGATGAGATCACCCTTTAGGCTTCTCTTCTCTTAGCTAAATAAACAAAATATAGTCCTCTGCTCCTCATAAGTCATGCCCTCTAGTCCTTTTGGCATCTTTGTTCCCCTCCTTTGGACACATTGTAATCTATTATAGAGCCCCAAACTGCACAGAGTACTTCAGGTGAGGCTGAGCCCAGTGGTACAATCTCTTCTTTCAACCAGTTAGGTGTTCTGTGCTTGATGGATCCCAGGGGACTTCATGTCCTTCTGATCTCTAGGGCACTTTGTGGACTCTTATTGAGCTTATCATGAACCACACAGTTGCTATGGGATTTCAGGTGCTTAAATACTTGTCTGGCCATGAGAACTGAACCAAGGTTGTGGACAGAGCACTGGGCCTTGGCCTCAGCCTCTTCCTGTCTCTGAGGTCTGGCTGAGGGGCAGCGTATTCACAAAGGCTTCCTGTTCCACACACCCTCTGATGCCTGTCACTGTCCAGTGTGAATCAAGACCAGAGAAAAAAGGTTCAGGCAGCAGAAATAAGGGACAACTCTGATAATGAAGGTACCACTATAACCGACTTTATACCTTCTGGAAGAGAAGACTCATCAAGTTGTCTTAGTGTGTAAACCTCATCCCTGCATAAAGGGCTGTCAACCCACTGTGCTGGGTGAAAAGCAAGCTCCTACTGTTCGCATATTATCTTTGGATCAGTTACTTAAAAGGCGTTTCTAGTACTAAAATGTAAAAAGTGATGGTATTGTAATATATCATGATGTTTAAACACAAATGCTTGAATCTTTCATGGATAGCTCATGGGCTAATAATCATATTCCCCTGTAATAAGAATTTCTTACATAAGTAAGGGGAGGAGATTTGGACTGTCATCAATATCTGTAAGTTGTATAAAACTCTGAATATCACTGTCCTGTATTTCCATTTGTAAAATGACTTTGCCTGGACCTTTTGCAGAAGGATGTTCATTTACAGAAAGAGTCCAAAGATATAATGCTTCTTTGCCTTGCATTCAAAAGGTTCTCTTTGTTGAGGATCTTCACGGATTAATTTCTGAAATTACTAGTTTTATAGCAAACATTTTAGAGTAAAATGCAGAATTGTATTCAAGATTTCTTGCGCAAAAAACTGAAAAGAAACATTTCAGCAATTCTCGCTGTGAAGTATACTGTCTTGTAACTATATCAGCATTTAGTAAACCTTTATTGTTCTGCTATGAGTACATGTAAAAATGCCATAGGCAGTCTCATATGCTTTTTCCTACAAGCTATTAACATACGAATATATCTTATTTTTGAATCAAATTTGTATAGTAGAAGTTTTCATCCTTATCCTAGAGCATTGCACCATAAGGTAAGGAGAAGTGACTTATTTACAGCTCTGCTATGGGCAAGTGAAACTATAGAATTTGAATATACACATCATAGTTACCTCTCTGCTGTTCTAGACAAAAAAAAAAAAGCAAAACCACTGCAGAAAATTAACACTTAGTACTTTGAAAAAATGCTTTTCTTAACACATTCATTTACTGAATACATCTGAGATTGAACATGCCAATATAGTTTTATAACAAAAAAAATATATCTGAAATGTAGAAAAGAAAACATACTGAAACAGTTTTGTGCAAGGGCAAAAAAAAGATTTTGAACAGTTATTCTATTTTCCAGTTTCCAAAGGTTCTACATTAAATGAAAAACCTCACTCAGTAGCTCCTGCACTTGCCTGTTTCTGGTGTTAATTATCTTTTGTTTGCCTTTGATAATCCTGAGTTGGTATGCAGATAATGAAGGCTGCAGATTCATCTCAAAGTGTAAAAAACAATGGCATTGTCAATTCTGCATCACAACACTTTATAATTTATGAATGTTATCCACATTAAGGAGAATGCTAGACTTTTAAAATTACTTCCATGAATAGATTAAATTACAAGTATTATTACATTTCATTTTATTAAGTGCGTCTTAGTAGTTATTAGGGCAAATGAACATGTTCTCTCAATTACATAATAACATTAGAACTAAAAATTATGCATTGACACTCCCAAATGCATAATACGGCATTGTATATTAATCATCCCAAACAATATTTTTGGTTTATATGAAGACGATTATTACTTATTGAAAAATAACAGTCTTACTGATTTATTGCAATTCAGCCCAAAGAATGATTTTTCATATAAAAGCTTTGATTCTTTTCTGGATAGTTAATAATTTCTAGCTCCTAGAAAAAAAAATGTGAGGGTCTTTTAATTACTTTCTTTTATTAATCTAAGTACAATAAGACAAAGTTTATCATATATTTCATTTTTAAATATCCTGGACAAGACAGTGTAGCACACATTCAGCATATACCAATAATTTAAGAGAAGATTTGTTAATTTTTGCTTTTAGCTTTTCGCACATTGTAATTATTTACATGATATGGGTTTTCAGTTACATTTTAATTCCGTCAAACAATTCTGGTGGGCAGATATGCGGGTTGCCATGCTGCCTTTTATTCCAAGGAAAAACTTTCATCTAAGTAGATTAGCACTGTTTAGGGCATTGCTTAAGAACAGGAAAAGCACCTGACACTAGCATACTGACCTGAGTGGTAACATTTGAACTCACTGAAGTCGTAGGAGGATTGAGACCTTGCACAGTACAAACACGTGGGGTAGCAAAGCATTTTAGGCACCTGCAGTGCAACTGAAATACTTTCAGATACTTTTTCAGTATCTAATTTTTATTTGTCTGTGATATATGTATTAATTGCATTCCTTGTAAATGCATTTATTTTATTTAAATTGCCTAGATAACCATGTATCATTTTTTCCAGTATTTCTAAAACTTTGTGTGAATTAGATCTGGTAATGCACATACTGGTGTACTGTTATTTGCTTTGACAGAACTGGCAAATTTTTCAGCATGATTACTTAAGGGATAATAATTCAATCATTAAAAAAGCAATTTGTTTTCATTTATTGCATTTTACTATTTTGATTTGAAATTGAGGTTAACAAACATGCTGTCAACATTATTGTCTGATTTTGTCACTTCATAAAACATTGGTACATGCTGGACTGGTGTTTTCAGGGGACAGTTATTGACTTATCAGTAAAGTAACAAAAAGAGATTATTCTGGTATTATTCATATCAGCTACAGATTAACAGTCAATAAATCAGCTTTGTAAGTGAATACAAATCACTAAGTTTGTTGATCTAAATATTAAAATGTTAACATATGACTTCTTTATCATATGAGTCTTGAACATTCTGCACGATCTGTTCAATTCAGCAAGAAGAGCATATAAATGTTCAATATTACGTAGTCCTAGAGAATAACAAAAATGCATTTTAATTTGATACATTTTTACATGGAAGCTCTGTCTGAGAATTTAAATGTCCTTTGTGCTGCTTAAGACCAACTTTTTCCTCACATATTCGGCTCTTATGCTTCCTACCAGCTAGGATAGAATTTATGAATGTGATCCACAGAAAGCATGTGGAAATGTCTCTAACAGTGAACATTTAGAATCAGCAAATGCTCTAATTGGTCATTTCATGGGAGTATGTAGTCACTGTAATTAGACATTGTTTATATTAGCAATGTATTGGGTAACGTGAAATGACTAGGTGATCCTTTCTGGCCTAATGTTATTAACTAAACAAAGTAAGTTAGACTCTTTATCATCATTACATCGGATTAAAAATGACTGGAACTAATACACGTGCAGTTCACAAAATAACTAGCCTTCTTAGTTCCAATTAGTTCTCAATTAAATTGTATCAGCTGTGGTGTCAGACTTACAGATACATTAAATTGTCTTTGAATCTCTCTGATTCCTTTAGTTCTCCCTTGTGCCAGTAAGGAAGTTTCAGAAACGAAAGTGTTAACAGCTCCTTTGAAATTACTCCTATTTAAGAAGAAAAATCATATTACTTTCTTAATCTTTCTAATTCTATTCTCATAAGATGATCTTGGATTTGTTCCTTTAACACAGACTCTTTAGTGCAGTCTCGATTTCCGTATTAATGAATTGAGAAGATGACATCAGACTCTTAGGTAAGTGCTATAAACTCAGTCATCTGATTCTTATAGTAAGATGTCATGTGTAAAAAAACCCCCAATATTTTGTCCTTTCTTACATCAATGTTTCTTTGAAAAGAAATAGTTGGGTGTTATACAGGTAGCACACAAAAGACCATGTAGTAATTTGTAATTTACCTTTTGATCATCACAAGAAAAATTTCTACTGGGAAATGAAAGCCAAACATAATTCACTAAAATTACACTGAATGCCCTTTAATCAATACTGTTAAATCTAGAGTTTGTTGTTAAATCGATCCTCTCCTTTATAGAGATATACTGTCTTGATTGTTTTAGGGATAATTATTTCACAGGGAATTTTTACAATGATTAGTAGAAATGAGACAACAGTAAACTTGACTCGGAGCCATTGAATTACTGTGCTGCAGAGTGCATTTGTCTCTTCTAGTTTGAAGCTTACTGATATCAATACTGATTTATATCGTTTCATGCAATGATGTTTTCCTGAGAGAAATGAAGTGAAGCTGATTTCATTTCAGAAATGAACAGCCTCTGTGCTTGTTTTTCTTTTACGAAAGTGTCAGCTCTTGCCAATATAAATACTCACTGATGCAGATTTTCTTTGCTTTCCTGCTTTTATCACTTAGGCTGATTCCTTGACATACATCATATTGAAAAAGTCCAGATAAACTTTGGAGAAATAAAAAAAATGTTTAGACTAGAAAGACAAAGGTTGAACTAAAGAATTACTTAAAATAGTCTTACTGAGCTATTTCTATACATATGAAAATGCAATTTAAATATCAGAGATTTAAAAAGTCAGAAGTTTTCTTCTTCAGTTTCCATTTGTAAATGAAGATTCTTTGTAAGTCTGTGTGATTTTAACAGCTCGCATACCATAAGTCAATACAGCATTTAAAAAGATAGAGTCAGAGGGATGAGTTTCTATGGATGAAATAGATGTAATTGCTTGCACTACTCTATCGAAGTGAAACTGAATTGCAATGCATTACTCAGAAAAATAGACTTATGTAGAAGTTTGATTAACATAATAAAGTACATATTTTATGTATGAATGAATAAAGGATGGTAACTATAAAGCTTGAACTTTTGCAGTATGTATCCTGTCACCTAAACTTTTCATTAGTAAGAATATGGTGAATTATGTAATTCAGAGAACATCCCAACTAGAATGTCTTTTCAAGCAAGAAGTCTAATTGGCGATAGTTACATTTCCATGTAAAATGAAATAATTCTCTAACGAATAACATAATAAAAAAGTGTTTGTTTTTCAACCTTAAATTGTCATTAAAGCTTAATATCTAATGCAAGGAAT